TATCTCTCTTTCTCTCTCTCTGTCTCTATCTATCTATCTGTCTATCTATTTTTCTAGGCATATATGCACACACATACACACAACACACACACACACAACACACAACACACACACACACACACACACAACACACATATATAATATATATATATATATATATATATATATATATATATATATATATATTATATATACAAAAAGAAAAGCATGAAAGAACGAGAGAGAGAAGAGAGAGAGAGAGAGAGAGAGAGAGAGAGAGAGAGAGAGAGAGGAGAGAGAGAGAGAGAGAGAGAGAGAGAGAGAGAGAGAGAGAGAGAGGAAGAGAAAGAGAGAGAAAGAAAAAAAAAAAAAAATTAAAAATAAAATTTAAAAAAGAGAACGAAAGATCGACAGAGGGAGAGAGCAAAGGAGAGAAACAGAAGTGACGTATATCTGCAAATCTTCTTCTTCTTCTTCTTAAAATTCTTCTTAAAAAAAAAAAAAAAAAGAAAGACAGCAGAAAGAGAGAAAGCGCTGTGTAGGTCTATCTTCACTCCCTGTTTACCATCTCAGCAGGTCGCTTCTACGTGAAAGGCTTTCTCTCTCTCCCAAGCAAACACAGGGCGGAGGGAAGCGAATGAGGGAGGAGAGAGAAGAGAAGAAAGGAGGAGGAGGGCGAAAAAAACTGCTTGGAGGAAGGAAGTTAGGGAAATGGAGAGGTAGTGAATGGGGAGGAGAGAGTAGAGAAGAAAGGAGGAGGAGGGTGTAAAAACGGCTTGGAGGAGGGAAGTTAGGCAAATGGGGGGGGGAGAATGGGGAGGAGAGAGAGAGAAGAGGAAAGGAAGAGGAAATAAATAAAGGCTTGGAGGAAGGAAAGAGCGAGTGAGGGAGGAGAGAGAAGAGAAAAAGGAGGTGGAGCGAAAAAACGGCTTGGAAGAAGGAAGTTAGGCAAATGGGGAGGGGGAGAGAGGAGAGAAGGAATAAGGAATAAAAAGGCATAGAGAAAGGAAGGAGCGAATGAGGGAGGAGAGAGAAGAGAAGAAAGGAAGGGGAGGGCGAATAACGCTTAGGTAAGGTAAGGGGCAAATAGGGGAGGAGAGAGAGATAAGAGAGAAGGAGGAGGGAATAGAAAAGGATGGAGGAAGGAAGTTAGGTAAATGGGGAGGGTGCGAATAGGGGAGGAGAGAGAGAGAAGATAGAAGGAGGAGAGAATAAAAGAGCATGAAGGAAGGAAAATGCCTAAATGAGGAATAAGCGAATAGGGGAAGAACGGGGACGAAGGAAAAGAAAGTGGAGGAGGAGCGAATAGAGGAAAAGAGAAAGAAAAAACGAAGAAGGGAATAAAAGGACATGGAGGAACTTACGAAAGCGGGGACGAACCGAATGGGGGAGGGGCAGAGATGGAGGCGATGGAGATAGTGGAAGAGGAACGAATGGGGGAGAACGAAGAGATAAGTGATGAAGAAAATGGATAAGAAGGAGACGGTGGAGAAAAAGGGAAGGAGGGGAGAATGACACTGGAGGAGGAGGAGGAGGAGGAGGAGCGATTGGTGAAGAGAAGAACTAATGGAGAAGAAAAGAGGATTGAAGTGATGGAGATAGTGGAGGAGGAGAAAATGGTGGAGAAATGGGGAGATAGATGATGGTAAAATTGCATTTTCCTTAAAAAATGGGGGAGGAGGGGGGAGGGGGAGGAAAAAGAAAGAAATAGATCATTCTTTTAGGTGTGAAAGTGGACAAGAGAAAGAAGAATGGAAGAAAGAGCCAAACATAGAATGAAAGAAACAAACAAAAACAAAAAACGCGCATGCATAAAAAAGAAACGAAAAGAAGTAAAAAGGAAAAGGAAATAAGAAAAAGAAAGAAAATAAACAAGGAGACTATGCCTGAGGAAATCCACAAACAAACAAACAAAAAAAATCGAGTAAAATACCCACCGTTGTGTCAATTCATAAAAGCTGTCTCATCCTCTCCGGCCTCTCTCCCTCTCCCTTTTTACTCTCCTTCCCCCTCCCTCTTCCCTCCTTATCTTCCACTCTCCTCCTTTCGTTTCGTCTGCCTCAGCAATCCTTCAGCTCTTAATGCCCAGAATCCTCCTCTCTTCACTACTTAGTCGCGTTCTTCTTTGTTCTCTTCAGTTCTTTGTTTTCCTTTCTTCTCCTCAGTTTTTCTCCGTTTTCTATTGTTCTTCTTTGTTCTCTTCAGTTCTTTGTTTTCCTTTCTTCTCCGTTTTCTATAGTTCTTATTTGTTCTCTTCAGTTCTTCGTTTTCCTTTCTTCTCCGTTTCCTATAGTTCTTATTTGTTCTCTTCAATTCTTTGCTTTTCTTTCTTCTCCGTTTTCCATAGTTCTTTTTTGTTCTCTTCAGTTCTTTGTTCTCCTCATTTCTTCTTTGTTTTTCATAGTTCTTCTTTGTTCTCTTCAGTTCTGAGTATTCGTCAGTTCTCGTCACTTTTTCCACAGTTCTCTTTCAATTTGCCGAAGTTTTCGTCAGTTTTTATTTGTTCTTTTCTCAGTATCTTCAATTCTTGCTCAGTTTTCTTCAGTACTTTTCTGTTCTTCTCAGCTTTATTCGTTTCCTTCGTTTCTCCTCGATCTGCCCAGTTTACCTCGTTTCTCCTCAGTCTCCTCAGTTTTCCTTAGTTTCTGTCTTTTCAGTTCATCTCAATTCTCATCCGTTTCCTCATTACTTTTCAGTTCCATTCATTTCTGCTCCGTCTCCTCATCTCACATTAATTCTCTTCCGTCTCCTCATTTCTCCTTCGTCTCCTCATTACTCCTTAATTCTCCTCCGTCTCCTCATTTCTCCTTCGTCTCCTCATTACTCCTTAGTTCTCCTCCGTCTCCTCATTTCTCCTCCGTCTCCTCATTTCTCCTTCTTCTCCTCATTTCTCCTCCATCTCCTCAGTTCTCCTTCGTCTCCACACTTCTCTTCAGTCACCTCAGTTCTCCTTCGTCTCCTCATTTTCCCTCCGTCTCCACACTTCTCCTCAGTCTCCTCTTTTCTCTTCCGGCTTCTCAGCTCTCCTCCGTTTCCACACTTCTCCTCAGTCTCCTGAGTTCTCCTTATTTCTCTTTCGTCTCCTCATTTCTCCTACGTCTCCTCCGTCTCCTCATTTTCCTCCCGAACTAGTGACAACATTGGGGAATTCTAAGAACATCGTCCAGGAGTATTATTTACCTTCAGCTCTTCACTGTTTTCATTTTTGGAGAGGGGAGAGGGGGGAGGGGGGTTCCAGCTGTTCATCATCGGTGTTCTTTTAGAACTTTTTTTGTTGCGGCGTCGGTAAATTTGTGTAACTTCATTTTTTTTATATTGTTCGCTTGTACTGTTTTTTGCGCCTTTTCGATTTATTTTTCTGTTTATGTGGTTGTGTGTTTGTTTATTTTTTCTTTATTTATTTTTCTCTCTGTTTCTATATCTGTCTGTTCATTAACCTATCTATCTGTCTGTTTGCCAGTCTGTCTATCTGTCTGTTTCTCTCTCTCTCTCTCTCCTCTCCGTCTCTATATCTCCATATCCCCACTCTCTCTCTCCACTCCGTCTCTCTTTCTCCCTACTCCCACTCTCTTTCCCTCTCTTTCTCTCCTTAAACCAAAATTCTTTCTCAGCCTCTTCTACACTTTCTAATTATCCTTAGCGATTAGATTATATCCTCCGGTGCCTTCTTTGTTAATTTCTCCAGTCCTTTCTTTGGGTTTCCTTCCTCCCTCCTTCCTTGGGTTCCCTTCTTCCTTCCTTTCTGTCTCTTCCTCCTTCCTTTCTGTCTCTTCCTCCTTCCTTTCTGTCTCTTCCTCCTTCCTTTTCTCCTTCTTCCTTCCTTTCTGTCTCTTCTCTTCTTTCTGTCCTTTCCTCCTTCCTTTCTGTCTCTTCCTCCTTCCTTTCTGTCTTCTTTCTATCTCTTCCTCCCTTTCTGTCTTCTTCTTTCTGCTGTCTCTTCTTCCTTCCTTTCTGTCTCTTCCTCCTTCCTTTCTGTCTCTCCTTCCTTCCTTTCTGTCTCTTCTTCCTTCCTTTCTGTCTCTTCCTCCTTCCTTTCTGTCTCTTCCTCCTTCCTTTCTGTCTCTTCCTCCTTCCTTTCTGCCTCTTCCTCCTTCTTTTCTGTATCTTCCTCCTTCCTTTCTGTCTCTTCTTCCTTCCTTCCTCTCTTCATTTGCTCTCCTTCCTCCTTGCTTTGTCTCTTCTTCCTTCCTTTCTCTTTTTTTTTTTTTGGCTCTCCCTCCTCCCTTTCTCCCTCTCTATCTCTTCTTCCTACTTTCCTGTCTTCTTTGTCTCTTCTATCTCCTCCCTCTTCGTCTCTGTCTATTCTTCCTTCCTTCCGTCCTTCCTCTTTCTCAGGGTCACTAATTTCCCACACTCCTTCGCTCCTGTTTCGCTGGCTGTCTTGTTTTTATCTTTTTTTTTTTTTTTTTTTTTTTTATTGAACATTTCTAAAACACTCAATACAGTTTCCTGTCTTTAAGTTTTCTATTACTTTTTCCTATGAACATTTCAAGAGCACTCAGTGTAGTTTCTTGTCTCTATTTTTTGTTTTACCTTGTTTTTCTGTAGATATTTGAGAAGCACTTAGTGTTGTATATCTATTTTATTACTTTTTTATGAAAATTTCAAAGCACTCACTATAGTTTTCTTGTCTTTATTTTTTCTATTACTTTTTCTGATAATTTCAAAAGCCCTTATTATAATTTCTTGTCTTTATCTCGAATGAAAAGTATGATTTAGATAATGAATTGATAAAACAAAATCTTCATTGCCAGAGACTTATACGATATCTTGATAATCAACGCGATTTCCGAGAGACGCGAAGACCAAAATAGATAATTGATCTATATATACCACTCTCAGACCTAATCAACAACTTTTGTTCTTTTGCTTCTCGTTAATGAAGCTCATTAAGCCTTGCGTGTATAATGAACTAATGAAGGGAAAAACAATGCTAAATGTGTGCAGTACTGGGACTCTTCCACTTTGAGAGGGGGACTTCTCTCCGAATGAAGCTCATTGTGTAATTCCTTCCCCTGCAG